ATAAAAATGTTTTAAATTTGCTCCATGTCTTGAAGTGGAGTTTGCTTCATATCTGAAAGATCTCAAACACTAAAAAATCCTGGATGAGTCACTGAAACATACACACACAAATCACCCACTTGGCAGTATTGGTTGAAAAATACGGTACACCTTTAAACCTTTTTAAAGTATAGCATAGTTTTTTTAAATTATTGATTTTATGAAGTCAAAAGTGCCCTAGCAAGGTTTTAGCGAATGAGACTTAAATATTAAAAGCACTTATTTAAATTTTAAGGCAGAATTTATGACCTCGAAATCATTAGTTCTCTATTTTTATTGCTAACTTTATTTTTAAATAGTTCAAATTTATCAAAAAAATGTTTCTTTACTTTTTGCCTTCCATTAATCAATAACGTTGTTAAATCAAGAACATATTGCAAAATATCTAAGTATTCAATCAATTCTTTCTATATACAATTTTACAGTTTTTAGTAACTTGTCGGCCAATTTAATAGACATTAAAAAATACTCCATTCCTTTATGGATGAAAATGAAAATAATGGTTATCCTTAAGCTCACTACAGTACTGAACGTCAATATTCTTAGAAAATAACAGGATAAAAAACTTTTAGAAAACTTTGAAAACAAACATAGTTGCCGCTTAAAGCTACAAAAAAAAAAATCAACAAAAAAAATGTTGTTTAAGGTTTTAAAGTTTTTATAATCTGCTTCACGATATTTTAACAACTGCCTAAATATGACATAAAATTTTACTCAGTAAATATAAAATAACCTTTTTTTTTTTTAAATTTGCAAAATTTTGGGAAATTTTCCCGAGTTGAAAATTTCCGGTAAATTATCATCCCTACTTTGGAGCATCATATTGACCATATCTGCAAGTTTGGTACTCAAATGGATTGGTTGTAAAAGTAATAACTTGCCTGTAATTACATTAATTTATCGCTTTTCAGTTTTTGTAGCGATTAGTACACAAATATTTTCTTTCGGACATTATTAGCAATTTCTACAATTCTTTTCTTCTTTAGAAATTGGTTTACAAATAGTTTTATTTTGGTATTATATCCGCATGAAGGAACTCAACGAAAACGCTGTTGTGTTAAGGCTCAAGAATCATATAAAAACAAATAGGAGAGGAAACAAAAAATAGTATAGATTATTTAATAAAGTAATATTTATCAGTTTTTGTTTTTATGTTATTTTATTATAAATGAAAAGACTGTGTCCCTTCTTTGATCATATTTATGTTTAAGCGACACATCAACCTTATAACAATTACAATTGTTCATCAACACATCAACCTTATAACAATTACAATTGTTCTTATCTGCTTTTTTTAATATTGCATTTTATTATTATTACTACTTTTTATTTACACTTTTATTATTATTACTATTTATTTATTCATTAGGTTTTTACCATCAGTTTTTAATAGCTTGCTATACATAATTGTACATAATATACATACGCAAAACTGTTATTGCAACTTATTATTATTATTTTTATTTTAGTATTATTATTATAACTTTCACAAGAGTACTACTTGGATTCAATACCAGATTAACCCGTCCCAGCCCCCAAAAATTGGGGTCTAAGCAGAGGTCTCCAACTTTATATAATATGCATACTACTGCAATTGTGGGTTTGTTGGCGCCTCCATATTATAACTGCAAGGGATGTTTTATACATTTTTACCTAAAAATGTATAAAATATTCAGCTTTTTAATACATAAAATGATATGACTGAGCGGGATAACAAGGTTCGAATGTTAACCTGATTTTGTAGTAAGTTGGATTTAGGATTTTTAGTTTGTTTTCGTCATATAAACATCTTTACTTTTAAAATTTCAATGTTATACAATTTTTTTTTCAAATTGATAAAAAGGCCGAAAGAGCATAACTTATGTTATGAACATGATATAAGTTATATATATTCGCACATTTATTTTTTTTGTTTTAATTTTTCATTTAAAAAGTTACTTTTGCTGCATAGGGTAGATTAGGGTAATATGAGCACCCTGGTAATACGAGCATACTTAAAGATTTTTTAGATGTAAGCAGTGAAGTTAAAGTTTCTTTGTATTTCTTGAATCGATTTTATGCGGTGATAACAGAAATCAGTACAATTAGCATAAATTTATATGCAGTTTTTAGCTGCTATCATCTAATTTAAACGCTGTTAAGATTTTTGCGTTGTTAAAATAATATCATCACGCATGAGTAAATCTGTGGCGCAAAATTTTGGTGCTAAAATAATGAATTTAGTTTTTTCATAAACAAAAATATGTTAGCAAAAAATATAATCCATTTTTGTTTAAAAAAATAATGCATAGAAACATTTAGTAATTTTTAAATAATTAATTTTTACCTAAGTAATTTCTTAATTGTAAACTAAAATAAAATATATTTGCACAGTAATTTTTTTTTTTTAGTTCAGTTTGTCAATATGTCAATCTGACCCTGCATTGTAGAGGAATTGAAAGAAGCAAAAAAATGCTGGAATTCTATAAACAATATCCTGATCAAAATGTTGCGGACGAAATTTTTTTTAAATCGTAAAAAGCAACAAAAACTAATTTAAGGTACTGCTCTCTGAACTATTTTTCTTTCAAGTTGAAAAAATTGTGAAATTTGAAAGGCTCATTTATTCACCATTCATTGGAAAAAAATTTTGTTTCTTCTTCTAGCTTTCCAGTATAGTGCTACTTCGGAAAAGTTATAACAAAAGGAAAAAATGATACTTATTTAAAATAGCAGTTGAAAAAGGATAAAGAGAGTTACTAGAAAGATGAGAAAAGTTATTCAGTTGATATTTTTAACACTTCCCATTACTAATTGTTACGCAGAGAGAATATTTTCTAAACGGCAATAGTTACGAACAAACTTCGTTTCTCAATGTTAAATAATTGATTAAATGTTCTTTTTTAACAACACTTGAGAGTACTCTCGACCAAACATAAATTTTGAAGATGTTGTAATTCACGTTGCCAATGTAAAAGCAAGAAAAACATCTCTGTGAATAAAAAAGTCGTTTGATGTTTATCTTTATTCATTTTTGAATATATTTTTTTTAACGAACAAGGCCTTCAAATAATTTTTGCACCTGGCTCCCAAGACCCTTAATCCGGCTTTCTTGGATCAGATGACTGTTTGAGTGACACCATCATTTACATTCATTTCTTTATTAGTTAATTACTATCATTGTTTATCATTTACTACCATTTATATTTATCATTGTTATTGTTATTACCATTAAAAAAATATGTGTATACATTAAATATATATAAAAATATTTAATCAAATACATATTTTATATATTTAGTTATATTAAGTGGTCAGTGGTTAGAGTTATCGTTACCTGAGAATTGGTTTGTACATTAGACCATTTTACATATTGTTGATAAAACACGGTTAAAGTTTAGGAGGTTATTACTGTTCTTGTATTTTATTCATATCTAGTTTAGGTGTTTTAATGTGTTTATTTTTCCTTTAAAATTAATATTAATATGATACTTAAAGTCTATTTATCTAAAACTAAAAAGATATTCGCGTACCTTATTTGGACATAAAACAAAACTGCACTGAATGCAAAGTCTTTAACAATTTTATAGGATATTCAACAAAATACCAAGATAATTAACAAAACAACACAACTATAACTGTAAAATATATTCTTGTTTGCTATTTATACAACAACAACAACAAAAAAAGCATAAAAATAACTCAAAAAAATTTCACAAACTTGATGAACTATATTATAAAAAAGACAATACAATTGTCTTCCAGTAATTGTAGTGTCTTTCAGTATACTGAAAGATCCCAATTAATTAAATTTATTGATTTGATGAAGGCAAGATTTCTTTTTGGAACTTACAATTCCAACAACACAAAAATTCAAAAAACATTTTTTTTAGATTTTACATTTTATCCTTAAATTCCAACAACACAAAATTTATTTTTAAAGTTTACTTTTTAAAGCTATCAGAAAAAATAAAAAACTAATTCAATTTTTTTATACAAAGTTATTTGACATACGTTAATATAGCATGGAAAAGCACCCATCTAACCAAGTTGAGTTTTTCCTTTTGCACATTGATTGGAAATATCAAAGAGTTTTATAAATTCCGAATTCGCAAACTCAATACTAAGCGTTATGATTAAGCAAAACTTTTGAAAATAGACAACATTTGTGTGTGTGTGTGTGATTTTTTTTTTCATAAATATTTACAATAAGCTGATGGAGGTGGTGGATTATAAATTTTTTTTTTTTATTTATACGTAAGTTATAAAAAAATGTTTTCTTAAATATTTCGATAATTAGGAGTTGGGAACAAAGACCGCCAAAATGTGGTTCACTCGCAAAATGTGGAGGAAAATGTATTTTCAAAATTTTTATTATATCAGTTATCCTATTTACTAACAAAAGTATTATAAGATAATGGTTGTGGTAGGGAGATAATTTTGTTTATAAATTGAAACTTGTTTCAAGGAGAATCAATCAGTGTGTTACATAAGTTTTATTAGTGCGATTTAAATTTAGTTGAGTATGGCTGTTTCAAATGCGATAATTCGCGTCTGTTTACTTTATGAGTTTAAACTTGGCACCAAAGATGCAGAAGCTTGTCGTAAGATATGCGCTGCTTTTGGGGAAGGTATCATAGCAGAACAGATGGGTCAAAGGTGGTTCAAAATTTTCTTCTGGAAATGAAAACCTTAAAGATGAACCAAGATCTGGACGACCATCCACTGCCAACAACGAGGATATCAAGCAGGACTCCAGCCAAACATGTTAGGACCTTGCCTTAAGATTTAATGTGAGTGATGAAACTATTCGTTCACATTTGCACCAACTTGGAAATCGTTGGAAATTGAGCAAATGGGTATCTTATGAGTTGAGTGAAACAAACAAGTCACAGCGCCTAACTATCTATTCTTCATTGCTTTCCCGCTACAATTTAGTGCCATTTTTTGACCGGATGTTGACGTGCGACAAAAAATGGATTATGTACTGCAACAAAAAACAAACATATCATTGGTTAGCCAGTAGCGATCCAATACCGATGACTCCTAAACCACGTATTCACCAACAAAAGGTTTTACTGTGTGTATGGTTGACTACATCAGGTATCGTTCACTATGAGTTGCTACCAGGTGGACAAAGCATTAGTGCTGAGATATATTCAGCCCAATTGGACAGAGTTTTGGTTGCTCTTCACCAAAAACAAGCAGCTTTGGCGAACAGAAAAGGTGTTGTATTCAACCAGGACAACGCCAGACCGCACACCTCTAAAATCACGCGGGAAACTCTAGTACGTTTACAATGGGAGATTCTACCTCACCCTCTGTATTCACCAGATCTTACCCCAAGCAACTATCACCTGTTTTTGGCCCTGGATAATCATATGAGGAATCGACAGTTTTAAAGTAGAGAAGATCTCGAAAATGAATTAAATCAATTTTTTAGCTCCCAAACTCAAGACTTTTATAAAAATGGAATATACAAGCTTGTTTCACGGTAGTAGAAAGTCATTCTTGCTGAAGGAGACAATTTTTCAGAATAAACTTTACTAAAACCGTTTTTTTGTTTATTTATTTATGGGCCTGCAAAACCGTACAAACTTTATTGGTTACCTGATAATATTAAACTATTTGGAAATTAATTTGAGGACTTAAAGTTTCATTAAAAAGTAATATGTTGAGAAATTATGTAAAATGTACAAAAGAAAAAAAACTATCTAGATTGTTTGCAAGCAAACAGTAGTAATATACGGTTGTACTATTATTAGTAATATATGGTTCTATAACTATTAGTACTATTGAACATCTTTGTCAATATTAGTTAGCCGTGGCGCAGTGGTTTGAGTTCTGCCTTTAGGTTTAGTGTAACAGCCTAAAATGACTCCCCGTAAATAAGTACCCTCGGAGTACTTATTTTCTAGTAAAAAATTACTCCACCCAGTTGTTTTAGGCTAGTAAATAAGTACTCCGGTTAGGAAATAAGTACTCCCAATGAGATTAAATATTCCTATACTTCTTTAGGACATATTTTTCAACATTTTCTAATGACGATTGGTTTTAAAGGAATAATTTATCCTCAAGAAATTTAGATTGATAAAGGTAAAATATCTAATTTCCGAAAAGCTTGCAAGAATTTCAGTATTGTATGCAAAGCCTGATATACACCCTTGGGGGAACTAGGCTGAATCAATTCGTTTGATGCAAAAAAGGAATTAAAACCTGAACTACTACATTTAAGTTTTCAAAACCTTTATTATCTCAAAAATGTATTTCTTTTTATTTGTTGTCTTTATAATATATATTAAATGTTTAAGAAATTTGTTGTTTACAATAATTTGAAATAAACAATAAATCACTAATTTTTCACACAAAAAAAAAGACAATAACTAATTAATTAGAAATAAACATTTTTCAATTTTTAATAAACTATTTTTCACTTGAAAGAAGTTTTGCTACAAATAAATATTTAATAAAAACTAAAATTCAAAAAAAAATCAAAGACATATTAAGGATATAAGACATATTAAACACATATCAAAGACATATTAAAGATATAAGACATATTAAAGACTGTTGTTAAGAGGTTGTTTCCAAATAATTTGAGTAGTTTTATGAAATTTTGAATAGTTCTTATTTTATTTTAATAGATTTTCAAATAAGAATGAAGCCTTTGCTTTTATTGGAAAAAAAGACCAAAACAGTTTCTAAACGGTTCAAAAGACCGTAAGATTTATTTGAAGAATTTTACGGTCTTGGATTTTCTTTAAAGAATCTTCGCCAGTGCTTCATTAGCATTAACGTTAAGCTCTTCAAAAGATTTTTAGCAAAATTATTTCGGGTACTCAAAAGAAGCTTATTTTCAGGTTCTATTAAAGAACCATTTGCCAGATCAGATGCAACGTTAAGAACCCTTCGAAGTTCTTCAAAGAATCGTTTAACTAAAGAGTACAAAGTTTTGATTCAGTCAATAAATAAATAATCTTTCAAAAAGTTTTTTGAAAATGTTTTTATGTTTTTTTTGAAAATAATTAAAAACTGGGTTTAAAACAGTAATAATAACAATTATTGTTGAAACTAAATGCTTTACAATTATAGGGTAAACAGTACAGTTATTGGACAAGGACAGTTATTGAACACTACAGAATATATGTTTAAAAATAAGAACATATTTGTATAAAAAAATAAGAGTAGATTCGAAAAAACTTATACAATTTTGTCAGTCTCCAAAAACAACTTTGCGCATGCGTATAATCCCTTCTTTACCGGCTAATCTGCAATATTTATGTCAAAAACGTGTTTGTTGTGCTTTACTATGTGTGTATAAAAGCGAATTTTCTTACAAATTTAGTTAAGAATTAAACTTTTCAAAACGTAAATATAATAATAATATTTCATTTTGAAATATGTACAAATATAGTTATAAAAAGTTTATGAGTTTCAAACAATAATAATCCATTTTTAATCGTTCTAATCGTTCACGTGTCCAATGACTATACTTTTCAGCGTGTTTTTCGTTAAAATATTTTTTTTTTGTAAAACGGTGAGATTATTCATAAAATAAACACAATTGCTAAAATAATAAAGAAATATCATTAAATATGTCATTGAAATTCAAAGCGTGTTTCATTTATTAAGAATAAAAGACCCACATGAAATTGAGTAATACCTTCAGTGTCTAGTAACTGTACCGTTTACCCTAGATGTTGTAAAATCATTTTTGGTTCAAATAGTGTTACGCTTAAGATTTACTAATTTAAATAAAATTCGGAACATAGCAATATAACGGAATATAACGGAATATAATATACAGCAATATAAGCATTAGAGCTGCCTTAAATTCGATTTTTATTGAAATAAGTATTAGAGTAATTCTTATTTCCTAAAACTCCCGGGAGTATTTATTTTCTGGCACCACCTAAGTAACTACAAAAAAAAATTCTAAAATTATGCTCAATATTTAAAGCTTAAAAGATAAATAAGTTTTATGTCTTTTGTCTCATTTTGACAACCGTAAATATAACCACTTAATCTTATTTGTCAAAACCAATAAAAAAAAACGAATCAGTGGTCAAACAATCAATTACCTACATTTTCTGTTTCAATATAAAGTATATAAAAAAGTGCAAAAATAGATTTTGCGATAGAATGATAAAGACAGATGAAACTCATAGAAAACCATAAGGGTTGACATTAAGGATCGCTAGTAAAAAACGTCATAGAAACTATTAGGAAGAAATATAAATCTCGAAAAATCTTGAAAAAACTCGAAAAAAAATCTCGAAAGAGTTTATAAATCTCGTAAAAGTCTTGTAAAAGAGTATAAAACTTGATATTAAAAAACTCAACTTTTCTGTTTAACAATAAAAACACTGTATGGAGGAATAAATTCGTAAAATGTGGGTAAAATATATTCTTATATATTTACATTTTAAACTTTTTTTTTTTTAAAGTAATAAAGATTTTTTTTATTCTTTTATTATAAAAGAGTTAAGAAATTTAAAGATTTCTTAAAAAGATAATTATTAATAATAAAATAATTTTTTTTTTCTTAAATGAGTGGTAATTTTATTCAAGGGATCAAAATATTTTAAAGCTATTTTAATCGAAAGAAAAACTTTACGATATGAAATATATGACTTCCAAAATTAGTTTGATAAAGTGGTTATCAAATTAAAATACATTTTAAATCACTTAAAAAGTATTTTTTTTTTCTTTTTTTAAGGTGTATTAATTTTGGAAAGAAACAGGAGATAAAAACAAAAAATCAATGTAATATTCACAACTAAAGTATTCATCAAAATAGATTGAAAATACCAACATAGAAACGATAATTTATTTTTTTATTTGAATTTTACCAAAAAAAGGTGCACAAATTTCACAAAATAGTTATTTTTATGCTAATGAATATAAAAATGTCCATTTTGTTTTTTTAACATCTAGTGACAATTTATTTATTTGAGGCAAAATCATAAAATAAAAAAAAAATACTACTATGTTTCTAGTCATATTTTATATTTAATGCGTATTATAAAAAGATTTTTTGAATTGACCACCTGCCCTTTTTCCGCAGCTGCTCAAATTTGTTATTTTTAAAGAAAAAATGATTCAGTGAAAAAAGGATAGCTTTTAACTTTTATTTTATTTCTTAAACCACAGCTGTCGATGTTTAGCTATTATATATTATTTGGAAGAACATTTATCAGGCTTTCAGAATATTATTAAAATTATAAAATTACAATTCTTGCAATTCTATTAAATTATGTTTCTGTAAGAATTCTAAGATTTATAGCTAAACCTCGACCCTTATTTTTTAATCCAATATAGGTTTTCTTGCCATCCGGACCCGCCCAAGAGCATTTAATTTCAATATAAAAGTGAACTTTTTATATTGATTTACAGTTTCTATTAAAATATAGTTTACAATTTATAAAAGTATACTTAAATTTTTGTTTTTAATCATATAACTTGACAGCCATCTTCAATAAAGTTCCATAAATATGTTGTAACTTCAACACATCAATTAATATATCCTTTAAATCAGAATTACCTAAAAACTTGTTTCAAGATGAATAAATTAAAAAAAAAATTTACTAATGTATGAAACTATTTAAATGAAATTAAATTATAAAGATTTCAGGGTTGGAGTAGCTAGGGAGGTTGAAAAGGATCTACTCTCCAGGCCCCTGTCATGCCAAAAGGTCCTGGGCCCCTCTATAAACCAAGATGCACAAGTAAAACACACAAAAGTACAAATTAGTAACAACTATTTATTGTTTATATGCATAAAACTTGCAAAGACAATACAATAAATATGGTAGTTAATTCTACAATTAAAGTATGGAATGCTTAATGAATTATAGAAAGACATTGTAAAGAAGCCTTACATTATTATTAATTAGTGGTAAATTATCTTGAGTAAGTAAATTATCACTTACTCAAGATAATTTACTTATCAAGAGTAAATTATCTTGAGTAAGAGACTAAAAAATTAATTTATTACAAAAAAAGTATTAAATTTCTTGTTTTGATTGAACCATGCATAGATATTTTAAATAAGCCAAGGGCCCTAGAGAGGATAAAAAGGTGCTGGTGCAATATTATTTTTGGGCCCCCTCCTTAAGATGATTACTCAATTAAAATATTCAATAATAAAAAAATTTCAATAATAATATTAACAATAATAATTTTTTTTTTTATATATATATATATATTTTCGTCATTAAAAAATGATCTTGACAATGTTTTTACAACATAAAAATATAACATTACACTTTCGATCGGTGTAGCAGCCTAAAAGTACTCCCGGAGTAATTATTTCCTTGGAAATAAATACTCCAAGAGTACTAGTTTCCTAGGAAATGAGTACTCCGGGAGTACTTTTAGGCGGCTATACCGGGCGACAATCGTTTTAAATAATATTTTTTATTATACAAAACGTAATTTGAATGGTAGCGAGATGAGAATCTAAAAGACGTTTTTAATTACTTTACGCAAACAGGTTTTTATCATTTCTCTCAAAATGTTAAAATATGTTGTAACATTTCAAGATTAAAATAAGTACATTAAGTAACATTTTAAGTTTTAATTAAGTACAGAGAAGTGTCAAATAAAATAAATGTTTATTTTTTATTTTTAATGTTTTGAAATATTTATGCGTTAGACAAAGAGATGATGGGGTGGGGTGGGGTATTTTGAGAAAAAATTATGCGTACAAACGCGCTTTTCTTCGAAAGCGTATATGTTCGTACAAGGGGGAGAAGGGGTTCGAAACCAGTGATTTTACTGCGTACGTACTTTATGGATGCTCCCTTACCATAAATTATCGGCAAATTTGTATTTTAAGGAGTTAAAACCCGTTTATTTTTTTTCTCCTTGAGGTGGTTCACCACTAAAAACGAAAAAAATCCCTAAATTTCATAATTTCAAGTATAAGAGCATAATACATGAAAATAAAAATCAACATAAGTGTGATTTTACAACAATTTATTCCTAAATTGCGAAAATATGTCAAAAAGATTGCAAAATCAGTCAAATTTAAACAAAATTTTGAAAAACGATAACTTGGAAACCATTTGAAATTAAATCTTCATATTTTGCAAACAGTTTGATGCACATAAAATGAAGGGCCTGAACCAAAATCACTGCTATATTCTTAGTAAAAGTTGAAATTTTTGATTTTTTTTTGGCAAAAACATCAAAATTTGGGGGGTTGGCTAATGAAATGAAATAGAAAAATGTAAATAATTCATCAAACCCAATAATATTTTTGGTTCAGGCCCTCCATCATTACATGTAGAACATGTCATGAAAATTTGAAGCAAAAAGCTTTAGTCATTTAAAAGTTATGAAATTTCAAAAATTAAAAATTACACAAAAAAGTGAATGAAGAAAAATAACAATAAACATTTTATAACTAATAAAAATATCAAAAACTTCCAGATGAGTAGGGTTTAAAGGTTTACAGTTGTTCTTCTTCATCTTGCCAACCTTTGTTAATTGATTTTAAATGTATCCTACTTTTTTTTTCAAAAGTGTCTTTTTTATTCATGTTGGCAACGCATTTTTGATCTCTACAAAATGAGGACACTACAAATTTTACACCATTCTCAAGATTGAGGTGACTCATCACTCTCTGAACACCAGCAGTTCCCTCATTAAAATACAATACAGCTGAATTCAATCCCAACTCAAATGAAGCTTTGTGAATAAAAATGTTTTTTGGGCATCTAGACCATATAATACTATTAAGACCATTAGAATTTTGTGTTTGACCATGAGTGCATTTTTACAAAAGGTTGTCATCACTTAAATCTTCAAACTCTTTCTTAATGATATCATATATCCATACTGGTAAATTAACTTTTGTTATGTAAATGCTGTTACCTGACGAGTTTCCTTTCTTCCATTTACACCAGCTATTAGGACCCACTGGACATAACACGTGGCGATGAAATTGATCAGGAAAATTAGTGCAATGGTAAAGAACTGCGCAAATGTTTTTTTTCACTTGGTATACCTTTTCATATTTACTTAAGGAATTATAAGCTGCAGCCTGTCTAATAGCCATAGCAAAATAGTTTTGTATTCTATTAACTGCGCATTCTGTCAATTTTCCTTTTCCAGTTAACTGATTACCATGATGTATATCTTTTCTTCGATTATGTAATCTTGTACCAATGCGCTTTTGGATATGACCAACACATTCTAACTCTTCTGGTTCGATTTAATACTTTCCATATGGATTACTGCTAAGAACATCATTTAATGCAGAGGAATCTCCATCTCCCAAATAATATTTATAAATCAAATCATTTTTTTCTACAGAACGATTAAATATCTTTACCACACCAGCACTTTCCCTAGCCCCTGACGATGCAGTGTGATTTAAGGAGCAAACATGATTAGCTTTCCATTCAGCATAACCTGGATGATTTTGCTTTCTTTTCCACATTCTACATCCCCTACAATACTTGCAAAAGACTTCAAAGTCAATACATCGCCCTTCTGAAATAGTGGTCATTACACCATTTAGCGAAACATGACTGGGTTTTTGCCATGAGCCATCTGAAGAAACTCTAATTATTTTTTTTCCTGAACCAATGTGCTCCTCTTTAACTTTATGTTTAACTTTTATTGTAGCTACCTTTGTGGATTGTTCTGCTGATAATTTATATGCATTTTGAATAGTGCTATTAAGTTTGTTAAATGCTCTGTTATTCATACATGAAGTGTTTGCAATTCGTGCAAAGTCCACTAAGGCTTGTTGTCC